CACAGTGGCAGTGGCTGCAGTCTCTCCCTCCTCCTAGGCAGCACTAAGGATATCCGACTGTGGCTTAGGCCTGCTCCCTGCGTTCAGTTGGACATCCTTCAAGGTCTCCTGGGCTGCCAGAGGGATGTCTGACTGCCAGCTTAGGCCCAATCCCCAGGGGAGCAGGCCTAAGCCGGCAGGTCGCCATCCCCTAAGGGGTCCTGGACTGTGAGAGGGCACAGGCTGGGCTGAAGGACCCCCCTGAGGGCACAAATTTTCATGCACCGGGCCTCTAGTAACTATACAAAGAAAGAAATGAATGATTAAATGGGGAGAAACTCCTTATCATAGAATATCAACTAATAAGAGTCAAAGGAATAATTGAATTAGAAAATCATCATTTTGCAACCATCAAAGAAATAATAATAAATTCAGACAAGAAACATTAATGGATGGTAAAATTCATCAATGAAAGCTGGATCAAGAACAGGTTTTATTTACATTGTTCCAAAGTCTCTCCCTACAAAATAATCATTAATTATTCAAGGAAAAAGAGTAACTTTACAGTGAAGAAACCTGAAGATACCTCCTTATTCTAGTGATCAAAGTTAACATCAACAGCAGTGGAACAAATTAGCATCATGAGTCATCTGATGAATACAGTGAGATGAGCACAGAATTACTTCAGTACTTGCCTAAAATGTGTAACCTGATTGTAAGCAGACATCAGGCAAACCCAAATGGAGGCACATTCCAGAAAATAACAGGCCTGTATTTGTTCCAGTTATCTATTTCTTTGTAACAAACACCCTAAAACCTACTGGCTTAAAACAACGCTTTATTTTACTATAGTTTGGACAAGGGGCAGCTCTTCTCTGCCCTAATGTAGAGCCCAGAGCCTGACTCTACAAGGCCTCAGTGAGAGTGGCTCAAAGGCTGGAAGCAAGAATCATCTGAAGGCTTTCCTACTTCACATCTCTGACACCTGAACTGGGAGACTCAAGCAGCTGAGGCTGCAAAAGCTACAGCCCATCTGACATCTCTGCCTCTATATGGCCTCTTCATCATCACAGTTTCAAGATAACAAGATTGCCTATATGTCAGCTCAGAATTCCAAGGGAGAGAAAACAAAAACAGAAGTGGGGGCAGCAGTGGTAGAGGGGGAGAATTAACAATCAGGTGACAACGTGGATAAATCCCAATGTGTTATGCTCACTGAAAGAAGCCAGACTCAAAAGGTTACACAGTGTATTGCCGGGGTCCAACCCCAGCAGGTCCAGGGGTTCCCAAAGGCGTAGACGGAGTCGGCGAAGAAGGAAGGACACGGAGACAGTGTTCAGTTGATCAGCAGCCTAGCCAGGATCTCTAGCCAAGTTCTGGTCAGGATCTCCAGCGAAGTTCTGGTTAGGATCTCCAGCCAGGTTCTGTGTCCATGTTCTCTTGCTAGGTTCTCCAGCCAGGTTCTGTCCAGGTTCTCCAGCCAGGTTCTGTAGCCATGTTCCCTCGCTAGGTTCTCCAGCCAGGTTCTGTCCAGGTTCTCCAACCAGGTTCAGTCACCAGGTTCTAGTCAGGTTCTCTTGCCAATTTCTGTAGTCAGGTTCAGTCCAGGATCTTTTGCCATGTTCTCTCAATCTAAGTTCTGTGTTCTAAGCTCTGTGTCTTGCTGTCTTGTTACATCTGTATTTATACCAGTTGATTCAATCCTATCAATCTCTATTACAAAGGTTAGGGCGTTTCTTATCTCCATTCCAGGGAGTAAAGATTATGTAGCTTAAGCATGATTGTTCATAGTTAAAGTGATTAATTACCCACCTGGCACTTAGTTGAGGGGTTTTATTCCCTCCCTAACTTCAGGGGAAAATCCCTACCTGGGGAAACAACCTTTCTCAGAGAGGAGACCTTGGTTAAAACACATAGTGCCAAGGTGAGCAAACATATTAAGACCAGTATGCCATATATGCCAGGTCCTTTGAAACAGCAAGGATGGACCGGCTCCCGGCAGTGTATGATTTCATTTATATAACATTTCAGAAAAGGCAAAACTATAGGGGGGAAAAAACAAATCAATGGTTGCCAGGGACTGGAGGATGGGTGGAGAGACTGACTTCAAAGGAATACAAGGGCATTGTTTGGACTACTGAAACTTCCATACCTTGATTGTGGCGGTGGTTATTCATTTATTTGTCAAAATGGTTTGTATTTGTCAAAACTCATAGAACTGTACTCTAAAATTTTACTTAGTGTACAATTTTACTTGTATGTAAATTATACTTCAATAAACCTGACTCCCCCCACACACACACCAAATCAATGAAAAATTCTGAGGAATATATAGAAGATATAATTCAGATGATAGTGAACTGGAAACCCAGTCATGAAATATACAGCCACACATAGATTTAGGAAGGGGCCACTAGATGGTGGTATTAATTTTTGTAATACAGCCCAGGGAAAATCATAAAGCTCAAAGATCACAGACCTGGCAGTGGAGCACTTTTGGGGAAAGTTTCCTGTAAATCCATAGTTGTAACTTCTGATATCAAGCCTTGAGCTGCATCGGTTTCTGTGATTTTGCTAACCCAGGTCTCCTAGCCTTCCACTGGTTCTGGGAAGCCAGCAATATCCTTCCAGTAAAATTCTATTTTTTTGTAGTTCAGTTTTGTTTTTGTTTTCTAAAACAGGTTGAATAACAGAACTAAAAATGGCTGTTGACCAATTTATTTTTTATTTTGTTTTGTTCTTATTTTTCACTAGTGGCCCGGTGCATAAAATTCATGCATGGGGGCGGGGTCCCTCAGCCTAGCCTGCACCCTCTCACAATCCGGGACCCCTTGGGGAATGTCCGACTGCCAGTTTAGGCCAGTTTAGGGGTCGGGCCTAAACTGGCAGTCAGACATCCTTCTCGTAATCTGGGACCACTGGCTCCTAACCACTTGCCTGCCTGTATGCCTGATCACCACTAACCACTCACCTGCCTGCCTGATTGCCCCTAACCACTCTGCCTACCTGCCTGATCTCCCCTAACCACTCACCTGCGTGCTTGATTGCCCCTAACAGCTCACCTGCCTGCCTGATCCCACCCATGCACGAATTCATGCACTGGGCTTCTAGTGGTATAATGAACTCCCAATATCAGCAAACATCAATAATCATTGATGATCTGCTTTTCTTTCCTTTTTTTCTTAGAAGGGGAGGATGGGAAAGAGAGCGAGATAAACATTGATTTGTTGTTTTACTTATTTATGCATCTTTGTTTGATTCTTATATGTACCCTGACCAGGAATAGAACTCACACCTTGCTGTATCTGGACGATGCTCTAACAATTTGAGCTACGCAGTCAGTGTAATAATCTGCCATTCTTAATTTATCAAACCACCACCCCAACACCCATGCAAGTATTTTTTTACAATTCCTTTTTTAATGAGATAAAATTTACATATTTTGAAACGCACAGATTTTTAAAAGTAGACCTTTTTGAAAAATGTTTTAGGGGGAAAAAAGCAGTTTTAGGTTCACAGCACAATTGAGCAGAAAGTACAGAGAATAATTATTATTAACTGCCCCCCCCCCCATCTCCACTCATACATAGCCTCCTCCATTATCAACATCCCTCACAGAGTGGTATATGTGTGACAATTGATGAAGCTACATTGACACACCATTATCATCCAAAGTTCATAGTTTACATTAGGGTTGACTTGTTGTATATGCTACAGGTTTGGACAAATGTATGACGTATGACTGCCATTATAGTCAGTATGGTATCATACAAAGTAGTTCCACTTCCCTAATCATCTATGCTCATTCCTCCCTCCCCTTAACTCCTGCTGAAGTGCACACATTTTAACTGTACAATTCCAATTTTTTTTAAGGACCTGTTTTGGAAGTTTTCAATAGCATAGTAGCAAAAAGAAAAAGGAAAGTTTGAATTTAATTTTTTTGTCAACCTACACCTAACCAGGAGAATAAATACCAAGAATCAGTTTGGTCAACCTTAACCAAGTGGCCTATAAGAAGTAACTCATCATTTCATCTTTTGTTGTCAGTTACAAGATGTATCGGTTATTGTGTGGACTCTCCTGATTGGCCTGTAAATAGTTGAAGAAAATGGGATTGTTTTGAATGGCTTCAGACAACGAATTTGCTCTAGGCCCCATTTGTTCATCCTTCTGGCGGTTCAGGATATTGGTAGAGCTCTCCTCCAACACCATATTCCAAATCAATCAGTTTATATTACAAATGATGCTATTGGTTCCCTAAGGTTATTTTCTCTTACCATTTCAATAATGAATACATATTAACAGGAAACAAAATCTTAATATTGGCTTCTTCAAGACCTTTTACAGTAGCTTAAAAATAGTGGTATGTAATGAGTCTTATCATTCCAATCCACCCAACTGCATGGGGTCACCTAGACCCCAACTCCCCTACATGTCTTCCTCCATGTTGGAAAAAAGGACTGGAGACGCCTGACACCTCTTGGAAGTTTCTTTTATTCTACAAATGGGCTTTGTAAGACATCGCTTCACCATTTAGCTATTTTTCTACCCTTTTGAGGTCACAAAGCACCCTTGCCTGAGGTTAGCACACTTTAAACTTCAACTCTCCTCTCCCGGTTTCTGTCCGGCCCACGAAAGCACGGGCACTGCACAATTCTCAGCGTGCAGCTTGGGCATTGCCCTGCCTCAGCGGAATAACCAGCCTCGCTGCCGCTTTGGAGGCTGCCCAGCTCCGAGCACGAGCGCGGGCGCCGCTGGGCTCAGCCCGCCCTCACGTGGCAGCAGGCGCCCAATGACCTCGGCCCACGCGCTCCAGACGGCCGCATGCGCTCACAGAGCCCGAGCTCTCCCGGCGCCCCGCCCCCGCCGCACTGTGCGCCCGCGTTAACCCTCCCACGAGATCCCGGCCGGCAGAGTCGTAGGTTCCTACCAGGTGTCGTTTTCCAACTGGGCCCCGGGAGCGTGCCCTGATTGGCTGGCTGGGAAGGCGGGACCCGGCTTATTTGAGAAGAGGACCACTTCCTGAAGCAGGAGGCAGGAAGTTACCCGGCACCTCTGGAGCCCCGTGCAGAAAGTGCTGTCAGCCGCTTCGGTAGCGGCGCGAGCTGGAGGCCGGTGCCGGGACTGGCCGTTCGGTCTCGCCGCACTTAGGCCCCGGTTTCCATCGTAGCACCACGGCCCCGTCCCTCAACCCCCTGCCCGGCGCGGCTGCCCGGGGGGCTCCTTCAGCCTCCTTGACGCCGCTCCAAGGGGCACCTACCCGGTTGGCGCCTGGGTCTCCGGCTTGGGGACTGGCTTCCGGCTTCAGCGCTCCGAGCCGCAGTAAGAAGCATCCTTGTCACCCCGCGCCCCGACTCCCTCTCTGAACACACACCTAGACCCTGGTCCAAGAGGCAGCCTCGGACCTCAGACTAGAGACGGATCCAGGACGCCCAGCACTGGCATCTCCTCAGACGTGGCTCTGCATCGTCTCAGAGATGTCACCCACCGTCTCCCACAAAGACAACAGTCGGCAACGACGGCCAGGGACTTTCAACCACGCTCTGGATATGAAGAGCGGCCCCCTGCCGCCGGGCAGCTGGGATGACTGTCACCCGGACTTGGTGGGCGGAGAAGGGGACAAAGAAGCTCTTCTTTGGGACAGTAGCACCAGTGGTTTCTCCAAACCCCCGCGGAGCTACCGGGCCGAATTAAGCAGCATTTTGCTGTTGCTTTTTCTTTACGTGCTTCAGGGCATTCCTCTGGGCCTGGCGGGAAGCATACCGCTCATTTTGCAGAGCAAAAATATTAGCTATACAGACCAAGCTTTCTTCAGTTTAGTCTTCTGGCCCTTCAGCCTCAAATTGCTCTGGGCCCCCTTGGTGGATGCAGTTTACTTTAGGAACTTCGGTCGGCGAAAGTCGTGGCTGGTCCCTACGCAGTACATCCTGGGAATCTTCATGATCTACCTGTCCACTCAGGTGGACCGCTTGCTCGGGAACACGGATGGCAGGGCCCCCGATGTGGTTGCCCTCACGGTGACGTTCTTCTTGTTTGAATTCCTGGCTGCCACGCAGGACATCGCTGTGGATGGTTGGGCATTAACTATGTTATCCCGGGAGAACGTGGGCTATGCTTCGACTTGCAACTCAGTGGGCCAGACAGCGGGCTACTTTTTGGGCAATGTTTTGTTTTTGGCCCTTGAATCTGCCGACTTTTGCAACAAATATTTGCGGTTTCAGCCTCAACCCAGGGGCATCGTTACTCTTGCAGGTATTTAATATGCTGTTAGGTTTATCTTACGGGTATGAGTCCTTTTGACCGTGTGTGACATGGAAGGGAAGCTCATTACTTAATTCACTAGGAATCATTTTATGGGAGATGACCTGAGGTAAGTTTCCTGTCCCACTAAAATGAGCCTCAGCCATCATGACTACATTGGAGTAATCTTAATTGATCAGTACTCGGCAGTAAGCAGGGAGAGACGACGTATGCAATAGCATTGTTGTAGAATGGCATACACAACTCGGGGTAGGAATCTGTTGAGTAATACACATTTTTTAAAAAGTACGGCTGGTGTGAAGACACGAATCTAAGCTGACATCCATGGTACACATGTTACTTTTCTTGTTCCTTGGATTGAGATTTGTAGCTCCATGCTTTCTGGTCCATTTCCCCTATTCTTACGCCAAGTGTCTTTATTTAACCCTCTTGTGAAAGGAATAGGCTTAATTTATTCAAACATTAACTAGCGGGCTAAGTGACAGGCTTCTAAGGGCCTGCTATAAAGCAGAGTCCAGCCCACAAGGAACAGAAGAGAGACACATTTTAGGGGAGCACACAGTTGCTTATTAACTCCTTGTGGGAGTCAGACTTCATAAGCAGATAGGTGACCTTGTTCAGTTGTAAGATTCCATGAAGTGGATAAGTGGAACTCCAGATTGCCCAACACCAGGTGAAAATGCACTGTGAAGAAGCAAAGAACAAAAAGTACAGAATGCCTGTGATGTTCAAAGTGCCTGAAGCAGTAATTGTAGGGACTGGGTTTGGGAAATGGTGCGGAAAGAAAGGTAGTGACCAAATGAGTAAGATTTCATTTAAATGTTATGAGAAAGAGCTTGAAGTTTATCTAGTAAGAAATTGGATTATCTAGTACAAAATTTCCTCTTTTTCTGCATGAGTAAAAGACATGCCTCTGTAAGGTTTTCTGAGGATTTTTTTTTAAACTTTCCTAACAACTGGGAAGCAGAAGTAAAATTACCAATATCAGTAATAACCTAATGTAGTAGAATTCTTCATTCTGGTAGTGATGATGAATTTAAACAGCTAAACTTTCATCTTCCCAGTGCTATTTTAGGAATTCCCAACAGCATAAATGTCAGGTAGGCGTGTGGTGAGTGAAGTGTAAGAGTTATAATATTTGGGGAGTGTCTTGAGGAGGGAGGGGTCCACAACTGAACTACTCGTACCCTGAAATCCCCCTGTGACATTGAAGGAAAGCTCATTATTGCTAGTGGCTCACTATATACCCCCTATAGGACCCTTTTCTACTTCCTCAAACTGCTAGTGAGCCACTACTACTGATGAAATGATCATTGTACTTTTCATCAGTTGGTTTGAAGCCAAAAATGTTTGAGAGCTCATTGCTTTGCAATAGATAGATTTGTCTCTGAATGTTCTGGGTTCCCACCTCTGCTCTATGGATAAATCTCTGCCTAAAAATAATGTGTGATTGCATCATATTGGCACCTTGTTGCTTTTTATATGTCTTGCTTTTCATTATGTACTGGACTGTTCAGGCCACCAGGAAAGATTAATGAGATGATGTGTTACTTAATCTACAAAAGTCTCAGTAGAGAAAGTAAGATTTAAAAGGCTATAGAGCCCTAGCCGGCTTGGCTCAGTGGATAGAGCATCGGCCTGTGGACTGAATGGTTCCAGGTTCGATTCCAGCCGAGGGCACATGCCTGGGTTGCTGGCTTCATCCCCACTGTGGGGTGTGCAGGAGGCAGCCAATAAGTGATTCTCATCATTAATGTTTCTATCTCTCTCCTTCTCCCTTCCTCTCTGAAATGAATAAAGAAATTTTTTTTTTAAAAAGAGTCTATAGAAACTAAATTACTAACAAGGTAAATTATAACTTTCTCTTAATATAACAGTGATTGATTAAACATTATTCCAGAGAATGCTATTCAGGAGCCATTATAATTATACTAGAGGTCCGGCCTATGCCCTCTTGCAGTCTGGGACCTCTCGGAGAATGTCCATCTGCTGGCTTAGGCTCGCTCCCTGGGGGATCGGGCCCAAGCTGGCAGTCAGACATCCCTCTGGCAGCCAGGCAGCCCTCGGGGGATGTCCACTTACCAGCAGGGAGCAGACCTAAGCTGCAGTCGGATATCCTTAGTGCTGCTGAGGAGGCAGGAGAGGCTCCCGCCACCACCGCTGTGCTGGCAGCCATCAGCCTGGCTTGTGGCTGAGCAGAGCTCCCCCTGTGGGAGTGCACTGACCACCAGGGGACAGCTCCTGCATTGAGCATGTGCCCCTGGTGGTCAGTGTGTGTCATAGTGACCAGTCATTCTGCTGTTAGGGTCAATTTGCGTATTACCTTTTTATTATATAGGATAGAGGCCTGGTGCACGGGTGGGGGCCGGCTGGTTTGCCCTGAAGGGTGTCCCGGATCAGGGTGGGGGTCCCACTGGGGTGCCTGGCCAGCCTGGGTGAGGGGCTGAGGGCTGTTTGCAGCTGGTCACACCCACTTCAGGGTGGGGGTCCCCACTGGGGTGCCTGGCCAGTCTGGGTGAGGGGCTGAGGGCCGTTTTCAGGCTGGCCAACCCCTCTGGTGACGGAAGCTCCCAGCCTCTTCTTTTTTTCTTTTTTCTTTTTAATTCTGGGATTTAAGTACCTTCTATAATTGAAACTTTGTAGCCTTGAGTGGAGCTCAGAGCCGGCCAGGGCAGTGGTAGGAAGCTTGGCTTCCTCCATCACTGGGCAACCAAGCCTCCTGCTCGCTCCAGCTCCGTGACTGCCGGACACCATCTTGGTTGGGTTAATTTGCATATAGTCACTCTGATTGGCTGGTGGGCATGGCTTAAGGCATAACAAAGGTATGGTCAGTTTGCATGTTTGTCTTTTATTAGTGTAGATCCTCCTTTATCCAGAGCTGTTCCCTAATGGGAAGATAGAAATTGTGCTATTGCAGTTTTATTTACACTGATTTTTTATTTTGAATAGCTATTTATTCTGTGGAATTTGAACTTTGTTCTTCAGGAAATCGTAGAAATAGCTTACTATTTAATTTAACTTTTTATGTCTGTAGTGGACTGCTGTTTCTGAGCAGAGCTCCCCCTGTGGGAGTGCAGTGTTTCTGGTTCAAACATTTTAGTAAGTTAAGAGTTGAAGAATTTCTGAATTTTCATTTGTCTCTATGACTGCACATATCACATTTGTGGCCTTGTACTTCCTGAAACTTAGTATAACTAAGAAAAAATAGTGGTTTCAAGGAATTTAAAAAGCACAGATATAATCATGAAGGAAATAAAATTGCTTAGGTAATAAAAGAAGAGCCAAACACTGAGGCAGATGCCTAGAAAATCAGGAAATTAAAAGTAGGCATAGTTTTTTTTTGTGAAATTCTAAAATACGTTCTGTGATTAACACTTTGAGTGTTACAGATACATGGAGGTGGAAAATATTGAGAAAGAACAGTTTTTGCCATCTAGAAAGCAATAATCTAAAGAATAAATATGGGACAAGAAGGACAGGGTGAGATAGAATCCCTTAGATTATCCCTTAAGACTATGCTGAGATTGGCTTTGGTACCTTCAAGTGTTCAGGACAGTACTGAACTCAGAAGTGGGCTTTTTCTGTCCTGCCACATTTGGTTTTCAAGGATCTTAGCAAAAAGGGATGACTTTTTTAAGCTGCAAGAACTGATTAAAGGAACCCAGAAGAACATAGAGATAAGAACATAATGTTTTATGACTTGAAAGAATAATGTATTTCAATTCCTTTATTATAGGTGAAAAAACTGCAGCCAAGTTGCTAGTTAGAGGTAGAGATATATCTAAAGGGTTAAATTTCCTGACTCCTTAAATATAATATGTGTGTAATGTAACAGAATACTAAATATAATATGTGCATGTCATTGGGCTTTTCTCCTAGAGAAAAGTAGCACTATGACTGCTGATGTTAAAAATCATCAACCTACTCCTGGAATACCTAATTCCCAGAAGTGACAGGTTTAAAAGTGGTTTTTTGTTTGTTTGTTTTTTAAAATGATACATGTTATTCATTTACTCAGCCCTGAGTGCCTATTTTGTGCTAGCCAGTGTTATAATTTAATGAATAAGACCTGGGAATTCTCTGCTCCTAAGGAATCTATAGTCTATAATGGAGGTTTGTAAACCAAAATGATGGAGGGGGATAAATGGGTAATGTAAATGAGTGGGTTGGGGCAAGAGTGCAGGGATTGGAGAGGACAATGATAACCTGGAAAACCAATGCTCATCTAAAGGCAGGGAGTTTTGCCCAGCCGGTATGGTTCAGTGGTTGAGCATCGACCTATCATGGTTCGATTCCTGGTCAGGGTTAGGACACATGCCTGGGTTGCAGGCTCAATCTCCAGTGTGGGATGTGAAGAAGGCTGCTGATCAATGATTCTCTCTCATCATTGATGTTTCTATATCTCACTCCCTCTCCCTTCCTCTCTGAAATCAATTTAAAAAAACATATATATATATATATATATATATATATATATATATATATGTATATACATACATGTATATATATATGTATGTATATACACACACACACACACACACACACACACACACACACACACACACTAGGGGCCCGGTGCACGAAATTCGTGCACTGGGTGTGTGTGGGGGGGGCGGGGGGGAGTGTCCCTCAGCCCAGCCTGCCCCCTCTCACATACTGGGAGCCCTCAGGCGTTGACCCCCATCACCCTCCAATCGCAGGATCGGCCCCTTGCCCAGGCCTGACGCCTCTGCCAGAGGTGTCAGGCTTGGACAGGGAACCCCCATCTCCCCCCGATCACTGGCTCTGGCCCCCGCCCAGGCCTGAGGCCTCTGGCCCAGGAATCATGCCTGGGCAGGGGACCCCCATCTCCCTCTGATCGCTTGCTCCACCCCCCGCCCAAGCCTGACGCCTCTGACCCAGGCTTCAGGCCTGGGCAAGGGGACCATCATATCCCCCCAATCCCCAGCTCCGCCCCCCGCCCAGGCCTGATGCCTGGGCCAGAGGAGTTG